TTTTTGGTGCCAGAGATCGAACTCGGGTCCTTGCGCTTGCAAGGCAGGCGGCAGAACCACTGAGCTAAATCCCTGGTCTATTTCTATACTGAGCTAGGCATGGTGGTGCACACCTGTAATCCCAGCACTTAGGAGGCTGAGGCAGGAGAATCACTGTGAGTTCCAGGCTATCTTGGATTTTACAGTGTGTTCAAAACCAGAACTAAATAATGAGACCGTCTCAAAACCCAAACCAAAACAAAACAAAATCTAGACTGAAACATAGCTTTTCCCCCTTGTTTTCTGACTTTTGATAAATTCTATTCTAGTTGCCATGAACTATTTCATAATTTTTGGTACAATTTTGATTGAAACTGGGGCAATGAAAGATGGAAAAATCCTCTTTTTAAAAGATTTTTTTGGTACTGGGTATGGAACTCAGGACCTTATGTTTGTGAGGCAGGAACCACTGAGCTAAATCCCGGGCCCAGAAAAATCATCTTTTAATTCTGAATTTAGAGCATATTTATGAATGTTTTTTGCTTTAATATATGAAACACTAGACACATGAAAATGAAATTAGTGTGGTATTTGTTTTCTTAATTCAGAAAGTCTTTAAATCAGGTGTCGTGGCGCACACCTGTAATCCCAGCACTTGGCAGACTGAGGCAGGAGGATTGCTGTGAGTTTGAGACCAGCCTGTTCTACATAGTGAGTTCCAGGTCAGTCTCAACTACATAGTGAGACCCTGTCTCAAAAAACAAACAAACAAAAAAAAGTCTTTGAAGTTGTGCACAACCAGGAAAAATCTGATGAAGTAAATAATGAGACATTATGAAAATAAAGTGGAGTTTAACTTTTGTAAAAAGCTGTACATATACATATATGTGTATTGCCGGGCATGGTGGTGCATGCCTTTAATCCCAGCACACGGGAGGCTGAGACAGGAGGACTGCTGTGAGTTCGAAACCAGCCTGGGCTACATAGTGAGTTCCAGGTCAGTCTCAACTACATAGTGAGACCCTGTCTCAAAACAAACAAACAAACAAACAAACAAACAAACATACATATGTGTGTATTTATATGGAGAATATGGTATCAGTATACATAAGATAGTTACTTTCATTTTTTTTAGCTGTTTGCTAGCATTTTTCTAGTTTTTTCTATAAGAAATTTGTATTAGTTGTATAATTAAAACAAAACAAAACAAAATAAAACAGAAAAACAGGACTGAGGCCTGCTCAGTGGTAGAGTGCTGGCCTGACACACATGCCTATAGAACCAGCTACTTGGGAGGTTGAAGACCATCCTTTAAGCCCAGGAGTTCAAGGACAGACTGGGCAACATAATAAAAATCCATCGGAAAGAAAGGAGGGAGGGAAGGCAGAAAGGAAGAAAAGAAGGGTGGAAGGAAGGAAAAAGAGAAATGAATTTAATATCTGGAGAAAAAAATAGTTTTTCAGGAGTGTATTTTAAGAATCACAAGAGGAAAAAAAAAAAGAATCACAAGAGGTAGGAGAGATGGGGGTGTACCTCACGGGTGGAATGCATGCACAGGCCCTGGGTTCAATTCCTAGTACAAAAAAAGGTGGTAGGATGTAGTCAATCCACCTAGGCAAACAAACTGAGGCATTTTGGAAGATAAGGACTTCATATATTAAATCACCAATGAAAAGCACAAAACAGTAGCTTTACTGACTAAAGAATCTTTGAGAATATTTAGCTTGGTTTCCAACTTATTTACCCACTAGAAAAATCAAGAAGTTTGTTGTTGTTTTTGCTTTTTTGAGACATGGTCTAGCTGTGTTCGGGTTGCCCTTGAACACATTATATAGCTCAGGCAGGCCTCAAACTCATTACAATCCCATCTTGGCCTCCCCCGTCTTGGAATTACAGGTGTACAAATTCACATCTGACTTTTGATATAAAATTTTAAAAAGAGCTAGGGATGTAGCTTAGTGATAGAGCACTTGCCTAGGATGCAGGAGGTCTGAGTTCAATCCCCATACCACCAAAGGAAAAAAAAAAAGAGATAAAATTTAAATAAAGGTGGTTAGTCTAATATGCCTACCAAAAGAAATAGCAAGATCAAGAAAAGATATTGTTTTTTCCTGAGAGAGAAAAGTACTATTATTCTTTTATTTTAGGGAACTTGCACTATTACTTAGAAGGCAAGATTCTTAAACATAGAGTTCAGCACAGGTTTAATAAATGCTATAAATATAAACAAGATTTTCCTCAAATGGTTAGTTAGAGTTTCTTCTTAAGTGTTTGTAAATGGGGAGGAGAGGAGGGGGTGAAGGGAGGGCAGGGACAAGGAGAAAAAATGAGAATCAAGACCTGTCATGTAAAGGTACAAGATCCCAATAATGAATGTAACTGTACTGTATACCTAAAATGTACCAATAAATTCAATAAAAAGAAAGTTTCTTCTTTGGTCAATAACCTTTGGAAATTTTTTTATTTTTCTAAATGAAGACCAATTCTCTAAAAGATATGAATTTAAAATTATCAGCAAAAATAAATACTTAAGAGCTATGAGAATAGAAACAGAATAAAAAGAAAAACATATCAAATTAATTTTACAAATTAAATTTCCAGTTTATATTAAAAACGGTATTTCTTACCTTTTAAACTGACGAGCGCTTTTGCTGAAGAGCCTACAATTAAAGATAAAACAAATCAACAATTACTTTATAATCAAAATGAGAGACAGCTGGGAGTGGTGGCACAGGCCTATAATCCCAGTACTCGGGAGGCTGAGGCAGGAGGATCGCTTTGTGTTCAAGACCAGCCTGGGCTACATAGCGATTCCAGGTCAGTCTCAACTACATAGTGAGACACTGTCTCAAACTCCCCCATCCCAAATGAGAGAAAAAGAATCGGTTTGGGGGTTAAAGTGATCAACTTAGGTTTAAGTGAGGCAGAGTTTGAAGCGACAGTAGGATGTACACATAGAAATAACTAGTAGACAATTTAAGCAGCAGATCAGAACTCAAATAGAGTAAGGAAGAACTGGAGAGAGACATTTATTTGGGAATCCTTTTGAAATTCTGAAAGTCACAAACCATTTTGAGAGATAAGTAAGGGAAGAGAGTAAGAGAAGAGAAAGGAAAAGTAGAACCGATATAATTTTGGTCCTCATTCCAAGTGCTCCGGTACTAGAAGAAACGAAAAATGGAACTCATGTTTATTGAGACAAAGACTAGATGAGGAAAGGAAGTGGAGAAAACAGCAAATGGAAATGATCCAGGGACTGTCATAGCAGGCAATATGTCCCTTGAACGTCTAGAATGGAAGTATGTATAAATACTGTACTGAAGGGTCAAAGCTGGGAAAAGGAGCTCAAAACAGCCAAGAGAGACTGGCACAAATATGGAGGGAATCACCAGATAGAACAAACTTTAGTGTACTGTAGAATAACCGAGGAGTTCCTCATATACGTGGAATATCTGTACTGCTTGGCATGGTGGCGCGCTTCCGTAAGGAGCCCTCAGGAGGCCGAGGGAAGATCACCACAAGTTTGAAGCAACCGTGGCCTGTATAGTGAGGTCAGCCTGAACTCCACAAGACTCTGTCTCAAAAAACTAAAAAACAAACAACAAATAAAAAGTACCTGTATTATTATTTTGTTTTTTTCCCCCCTAGTACCGTGGATCGAACTCAGGACCTTGCTGTTGGCAGGCAGGCACAGCGCCACTGAGCTAAATCTCCAGCTCTATTACTTTGGCCTTTTGAGACAGCATCTTGCTCTGTAATTCAGGCTAGTCTTGAACTTGCAGCAATCCTCCTACCTCAGCCTCCTGGGTGCTGGGATTACGGGTATGTGCCACCATGCCTGGCATTCTTAGTAAAGCTCTTCAAGGATAATCCACTTTGAGAAACTGAGCTACAGGTTTTGGTATGAATAAAAGAAAGGCTCTATGGGATAATAGGAAAATAGGTGGGAAAAAAATGTTTTTGGAAGTTTAGTGAACAAAGGCAATAAAATCACAGGCAAGGAGTGTTAGGAGAAGAACGCCATAAAATCTTGCTAAAAAGACCCAAACAATACAACACAACTGGGAAGCAGCAAAGTAGACAGTACACATATCCAAGCTGCTATTAAGAGAAATGCAATTAATTGAAGTAAAAAGTAACTATTTGCTGATTCAGTGACTCTGTCTTAAACTCTGACTATACAGGCCAGTCTCTGCACAAGGCAATTAGGATGCAGCAGCAACACATAAAGTGCTCGTTACTAACTTCTCTGGAAGGTGATATTGAGTCAGAAGCCAAAGGAAAAGATATAAGCCACAAAGAAATCCACTCCTGTTTCATGAGGCAGGAAACCTATTTTGGGAATTCAAGCCTGTCACTTTTAACCAATCTATCTATCTTGGTCTGTCTGTCTGTCAGTCTATCTTTTTTTTGAAAGGAAGTATTGCTAGTGGCCAAAAGAATAAGTTCTATCTAGACTAGCTGTGTTTGATTCTTGTCTCTGTCACTTTCTTGGTATGATGCCTTCCCCAAGTTACCAACCCTATGCGCTTCTGTTTCCTTGTGTGTAAAATGGAGAGTAAATAAAAGTGTAGAACAGTGTACACAGTACTTAGGTAATTTTCATTCCATGATTACTGTTCGTATTTTCTGCGATCAACCAAAAGTTATTAGGCTAAAAATATAATTTTACAGGCAAATGAATCTGATTAGACTCCTGCTCTAACTGGGTATGCTTGTTCATTCACTCAACCAGTATTTATGGAATGCTTGCCATAAACACTGTTTTGGGGGCTGAGGTAATCCCAAGGAATGAGACATAGCCTCTGCCCAAAGGGAGTTTACATTCTACAAGACACACATTAGCACATAAAATAATAATTACAGCTCATGGTAGTTTTGCTCTAAAGGAAATGAACTGGGTGATATTTGTGTGGGGGAGGGTTTACTTTACATAGGGATAGGCTTTTAGAGGGGTAACATCTGAAAAGAACTAACCATGAATGGGCTGGGGAATTTAGCTCAATGGTTCCGCTGCCTGCCTTACAAGCATAAGGTCCCGAGTTCGATCCATGGTACCACACATACACGCAAAAAAAAAAACAAAAAACAAGAAACAAGAAAAAGCCCTGAGAAATTAATTTAGAATATTCAAAGAACATGGAGGGGTGGCCTTGTATTTGCCACGAAGCGAGTGTAAAGTGACAAAAGGCCAGAGAAATATGCCAGATGTTATCATGGCATGGAACTGGGAAGGCAAGCAGAAGAAAAAAGAAACTGCATACTCTGACAGTGTTACTAACCAAGTAATCATATAAATGGAAAACTGCAACTATGACAGCTGCAACTACGACGTTACACAGAGGTATAAAAAGATTAAAGAAAAAATAATTGACAGCACTCAGGAGGCTGAGGCAGGAGGATTGTTGTGAGTCGAGGCCAGCCTGAAATACATAGTGAGTTCAAGGCCAGCCTGAACTACACACAGTGAGACCTTGTTTCAAAAAAAAAACAAACCACACCAAACAACAACAACAACAAAAGAAAACATAATTGAGTCAGGGAGAACGAATAACTCTGAGAAGCTTAAAACAAGAACTAAAGAGTAAGTAGAAGTTAACTGGAAATGAAAGAAGATAAGAGCATTCCAGTTACAGAACAGCATCTGCAAAAGCCCTGTAGAAAAAGGAGGACATGTATATATTTTGAAAGGATTTATTTGGCTTGTGTGTGGCAGAGGGCTGGATTAATGGGAATCAAGTGGTTCCTGTAGAAGAGACAGTGACAACTTGGGCTATTGATGGTAAAAGACTTGAGAGAGAGTTTAAAGACTTGGTAAAGGTTTAAACAAGGGAAGTGAAAGAGAAAAGTGTCAAAGATAACCTCTAGGTTTCTGCTCTGCTAGCTGAATATACAGTAAAACCATTCATTAAGATAGGAGCCCTTGTAAGCATCTATGCCCTAGGGTGGGAGTATGAGGTAGATTTTGAGCTCTGAAGTTTGATGGGCTCCTGAAGCATCTAAAAGGAGATGTGAATTAGCAAGAGCTCAGAGGAAAAGGTTGGGCTAAATATAGCTTCAGTTTCCTCATATATAAAATCAATATTTGTATCAATTAAAACTGAAGCGTGAATGAGAAAATATATGTAATATTCTTTACACAGCATCAATGCATAGTAAGTACTCAACTAATGATAGCTTTTACTACGAATGTTACGTGCCTATTAGCTAATATATCAGCTATTCACTCCCTTAACTAAACTTGGCAAAAAACACATTTCATAATCAAACTGAAATCATTTTCCTTTTTCAAGATCCAGCTCCATTTTAATAATGCCTGTTAATCCACATTCAATCCCATATAAATCAAGTATTTATGTATATTCGATTTGTGGTACTGTGTAACACACCAGGTATGGCAATCCCTGCTTTCAACAAAGCTGGAGTAGCTAAACAAGATGCACCACACGTGCAGGCCCCTCAAAACCAACGTACCACAGATGTTATGTTAGTCAGATTTTGGCTGCTGTCACCAAATACCTGAGACCAACAACTCAGAGGAAAAAGGTTTATTTTGGCTCATGGTTTCAGTTCATGGTCACTTGGCTCTGTTGCCTTTAAGTTTGGCAAGGGAGAAATATGACAGAAGGGTGTGCAGGAGGAAAGCTACTCACCTCATGGCAGCCAAGAAGCAGAAAGTGAGAAGGCCAGAGAGGAAGAGGCCCGGGACAATATACAGTTCTCAGGTCATGCCCCCAAGACCCATGCCCTTCAACTAGACCCCACCTCCTGTTTCCATCACCTCCCAATAATGCCATCACATTATGATTCCATTAGTGGATTAATTCACTGATGAAACAAGAACCCTCATAACCTAATCACTTCCCAAATCCCATCAGCAACCAAGCCTTCAACACAGAGCCTTTGCGGGGGGCATACACATCCAAACCATGACAGATGTCACAGTAATAAATGACGAGGTTACATGGGCTGAGCGTATGGCTGGAATTTGGATCTTGTTCTAAATCTCAAGTCTCTACAAAGAACTGAAATAAGAAAAACATTTTCATCTGACAAGCACATTGTGCTTATTAAGCCCACCCTTATTTATAAGCACCCTAAATCACAATCCACTGTAATCTCCAAACAAGAAACAATACAACCAATGGACAATCTATAGCTAACCCTGTCAAATACACAGCCACCAACTATGTAAATTTAAATTAAGATGGAACTGAAAGTTTAGTTCCTCAAGTCTGTCTAGCTTCATTTGAAGTGTTTCACGGCCTCTCACAGACAGTGGCTATCCCGCTGGGCAATGCCAAAGACAACATTTCCATCACTGAGAAAGTGTTTTTGGGACTTAGCACTGGTCTAGATCAAATGTAAAACACAAACATTTTAAAAAATACAACTTTTCACCAGCATGGCAACCTGTTAACTTCGTAATATATTAAGATATATGACAGAGCAAGCAGCCTTGGCGGCATCTTGAGGGCTCATTTTTAAAGCCTATGCTTTACATCAGATACGTTTAACTGAGCCTTTTGTTTTTGTTACATTTAAATTATCTCCAAGTGATATATACTTTATAAACCCAATAGAGAGGGTGGATTCAGGGCCACTTTGTAATGAACTAAAATGAAATACCTATCTTTTTAGGTGATTTGTGCAATA